GATCTCGTCGATCGTGCATGACGTAGCGTATTCGCACTTGAGCTGTCATACTAGCGTTGACCCGTCGAACCAGCCTCCTGTCTAGACCTTCAATAACATTATCGAAATTGTGTCTAAACGAAGACACGCTCCCAAAACAAGCACAACAAAATCGAACCGAAGCCAGTCGATTTAAAGAACCAGACATGGGAGAAGTTCACGTTGGTGGCGGACAATGCAACGTCCCCGAACATGAGATCAAGCAGAATGCAGGCGTGTCGGCGCAAATGGCGCTCCAGGCGGGACAAAAGGCGTGGGAGTTGAGGCAAGCTGCGCATGGAGCGGGCGACGCGAAAGCAAGAGAAGAAATTCTAGCGAAGGCGATTAATAAAGAAATTGAAGCAGAGTCATTCGGAAAGGCGGCAAAATATACACAGTCTGGTGCTTTCCAAGGTCTCGCCGCTGGTGCCGGATTGGGAGTGCAGCCAGGTGTCACCATTGGAAAGCTGACCGGCGCGCTCGTTGGCGGCACAGTATCCACAGTGACTGGGCTGCTGGGAGGAGGTATTGGATCGGTTTACGGTGCCATGAACGGCCCAATGTGGGACTTAGGACAGATGGCAAGTCAAGGTGTTCAGGGTGTCGTTGGCGACTTCCTCCCGGATGTCAAATCGACGCCATCGCAGAAGAAGGCCTTGGAGAAGATGGTTATGCAGACCAAGGACACGCAGGCACCATCTAAAGAAGAACTGGAACAGATGAAGAATGACGCACCGGATATGATGCCGCAGACCTGGTCGCAGTCCGCGAAAGACATGACTGCATGGAGACCGAGCATGCCGTCAGCAGTCAAGACCGCGGGGGCTGGAATTGCGGGAGTGGGTGCCGCGATGAATCCCTGGGGAGGTGGAGGCCAGCAGCAGCAACAGCAAGGCACATCTCAACCCAAGCAACAACCTCAAAAGCAAGCCCAACAAGCGCCGAGTCAATCCAAACAACAGTCCCAGCCTCAGGCCAAGAAAGCCCCTCAATCAAAGCCATCGCAGCCGAAAACAAATGGCACACAACCGCCAAAGCAAGAGAAGCCACAGTCGACCGAACCAGCCAAACCCCGTTCCCAACGCCCACCCACAACCCGCGGCCCCGCAAACCCCCAATCATCAACGCAATCCACCCCGCCCTCGCAGCAAAAGCAAACACCAAACACACAACAAACACCAGCCAAGTCCTCATCACAGAAATCCGCATCCACGGCGAACAAATCAGCGAATGGATCTGCTCAGCCCAAACGCGTATCGTTTAGTGACAACAAAGAGAACAACGCACCGGCTGCGGCGGAGAAGCCGAAGAGGAAACCGAGGAAATTGGGACAGCAGGGTGGTGCTGGCGCTGGTAGTGGTGGAGGTGGAGGTGGGAATGGGGGTGCGGCGAAGAAGGCGCCGAGGAAGTTGGAGTCTAGGAAATCTACTGCTGCTGCGTAGATGATGGATGTTGTGGAGGAAGGGGGTGGCTAGGAGGTTGGCGAAGACATTGCTGTGATGAAGGGAGATTGAGGAAAGGAAGGAGTAATGTAGTTATAATAGTTGGTTCCGCTGTTGGTGTTTGCATGCGTTTTGGAGGGATTGCGTAGCGATAGAGTGGTTTTAGCGTGACACATACAAGTTTACGAACAGTTCCAGGCATGTGCAAGGCTCGCGGATGAGAGCGTACCGTCAGAAATACTGTGAGGTCATTGCTGTCTTCTGATATCCGCCAGAGTATGGATAGAATCACGTGGACAACCCTGCGTGTACTTTGGCGTAATGTGCAAGATGAATTTGAGGGTAGAGTATACATTGCCTTAGGAACTGACTAATTAACGCGATTTGATGACATGTATTCTGCAAAAGCTCTCTGGAAACCACTATCCTTCAAGCGTACAAGCAGCCTTCGACCGGCTTCTGAACTGCTTTGTCGCTGAAAGAACAATGCCCAACTTGATCTTTGGTACCCTCGATTGTGACACCCCACTTCAATGGACGCTCGACAATATTATCTAGGCCTCCAGCCCTCCTACCATCCCTGTGCTTTACGTGACACGCCGCACTGATAACCGCACTGTTCGTGCCTCTGAGTGGCATGCCCGTCGGATATTTACAAATCCCAGCGAAAGCCAAACAGACTACGACTAAGAGACATCCCATGACGATTGCCGCGATGAGCGCTGAGTCTGAAAACCCTATACCAGTCACCGAACCTCCCGCGTGATGCAACCAGTCTCGAGATGTCGGCTCTAGCACGCCGTTTTTGTAAATAGCAATGGGTGCGATGAACAATGTCTGCGATATGAACCAATGCAGTAAGATGCTTGCGACAATAAGCGGGAGGCTGAATTTGTATGGCAGAGAGAGGAAGTATGTAGAGCGCTGGGTAGAAGCTGGGACGGTGACACGAAGCGCAGCTCGTTTATGTACGTAGCTCGCCCATTCGCGATTCGCGAGCATCGTCGTAAAAAGCCCGTTGTAGGTGATGTATAGAAGCGATATGATGACCTGAGGCGCATTGGCCACAAGAACGTAGGGTATAATGGATTTGGAACCGAGGTATAGATCGAGGATAAAACCTGATACCGCCAGAGTTAGCACTTTGCAACACGAACATGGTAGAGGCTTGCAAATGGGTAAAGAGTTTGGATGAAGCACTTGCAGCGAACTTACGGAAATTAACGTTCCCAAAGCCATTCCACCGGCAAACTTGGTCGTCTTTGAACGAGGAAGCACCTGGATCTTCGCACATTACCCAGCGACGACCCATGCTGCTATAAAGGTATAGGGCTGTAGCGATGACCACGGAATATCTAGAGTCGGTCAGAATCTGTGTTGTACCAAGAAGAGTGAGGTGCGTAGTCTTACGAAAAAAGCGAACAAAACCAGCGCTTGCCGCCGACAACACTGTACCAGCGAACATGATTGCCGGTTTGGTGACGATGTATCCTCCGCGCTTCCGTTACCTCAAGAGCCTGTTTCATATCGTGACTAGTCATGAGACAGCAATCTTGAGTTAAAATATCTGGTTCCAGGATGAATGTCTGGATCGCGTCGCCGATCGTAACGATCGTTTCTTGATTCATCCACCTAAGTACTATGATCATGAGAGTCACCTTCAGCATGTTACAGGCAATGACAATATACAAGATGCTCTGATTGAGCTGTACTTGGCACCGCTCGGGTGAGCTTTCACTCAAGCAATCTGCAAACATATAAGTGAGACACGTAACTACCAGTCTGAACGAACTTACACGAGAGATCAGAAATAACTTTCGGGCCGAAAAACATCTCTGTGACGTCCATCTTGAAGTATTTGAGCGAGCTGTTGTCGGTTCTGTCTGAACCCTCGGAGTGATTCTTTGCCACCACAGCGACAAGGTTGCCAGCCCTTATGAAGGACATCTGATAGCGATGAATACACTCAGTGGCAGAAATGTTCTCAAACGGAGATGTGTCCAGATACTGCTTGTCCAAAAATTTGTCCTGGAGATCCTGAACGTAGGGAACATACTCATCATCACCGTCTCCGAGCTTCCATCCCCCCCTCGTGGTGAGAAAAGACTCTTGTGTCAACATGAAGTCGATGGCGTTCGTTGCTGTTGTCTGAAATACAACTGAATTGTATCTTGCCCTAGTCAATACATTGGAATTCAGAACATAAAGCGTACACTTACAGAAGATGCAAAGGCATGCTGCTTATAGCGAGCAATATCCAGACAGCGAGCCTCCTCCTACTGATGTTGGGTAGATTTCTCAGACTCAAGACTCCCACATCCAGCGACTTGCCCCTCTTGTGAGCTTTGTCGATTTCTTTTCTCGTTGGAGCTACAAGTCGCTGTAAACAATAACTTGATGCACCCAACAAAGCGCTACTCAGTACATTGACGAGTAGTTGAAGACCGGTTGTTAAACGCGATGCAAACACACATTTGCCGGTGTAGATCGTAGCAATGCCGTCGTGTGGATCACCGGCCGCAGCAGCTACTATGGCGCATATGATATTGAAGAATAGGACCAGCGATGAGCCGATAATGGCGAGAACAAAACCGCCGCGCCAGCCGCTGAATCTGGCTTGACGTTTGTAAGATAATAACAGGCTGAAAGTAAAGGAAGAAAAAAAGGTATTTGGAGAGGCAGTCATCTTGGATAGTAGACCGGTGCTTGCTGAATGATGCCTGAACGGCTACGGGCCATTATGTATCCATTGCTCTTCCAGCGTTGGCGTGCACTGTCGCCAACACAGCCACCATTCACCAAACACGAGACAGTTCGAAGGAAGACGATGCATCCAAAAATAAGCGGTTGCTGCATTGAGTAACCACAACGTTGGTCACAAACCTTCGTAGGGGCCAAGCACAGAGTAAGTCGTCGAAACAAAATGTACTCGGCGAGTACAGGATTGGTGATAGGTGGCCCCCAGATTGTCTTATCGGAGCACGGGCTCATGACGGCAGGTCAATAGACTTGGAAGCCTTCGAATAAGGGCCAATACCTGTGCGCTCCATTATTACTGCATCTCTCCAATTGCGTTGACGTGCGCGAACCGTACCTTCGGGTTCGGCACAACGAGCACTGCCCGGGCATGGGGTAATTCACCCAACCAATGGGATGTTTCGTAGGATCAACACACGTAAGCCGGCCTGCGACCCAAAAAAGCTCCGCACGTATCAATGCCGTGGAACTGCTTACCAGAGACTTTGCCACATGCATGGCAATAGGGGAAACGTTCGGATATTTGGCGTATCGAATGTCCACCGTTTGATTGGCTCGATTGCGTCGGTTTTGGAGCGGCATCTGCGGTACTATCTCAACCTTTGGCGTAAATTGGTGTGAATACCGCATCGGCAGGCTTTGACCAAATTCATCGGCAATGCAGCCCTCTATCGCCACTGCTGCCTGCGCTTTCCTCTATGCGGGTACTTCTTCGCTGCGCCTTCCGGATTAATTTACAGTGCAGAGCAACGATAACCCCCATTTTCAACCCGCGCAACCACCATGGATCTTTCTCATCTCCTCTCGTCCTCACTAGCGCCAGTGCAGGAGACTCTCATTTCGTACCTCGGCCCGAAGGAGTTCGCGACATTGGCTGAAGTATCCACAGGCGTTGGCACTGCGCTCAGCGGCGGGCTTCCTTCATGCTACCAAAACATTGAGAGAAAGCTCAAAACCTTCTTCGGGGATCCCAAGGCGTTCAGACAAGTTCAAGCCAACACCGGCGCGATCATTGGCGGTGACTTTGCCCGCAAGTTCATTGCTAACGAGCTGCAAACTCCCGTGCAAGAACTATACATCTATACACAGTACTCAGAGGTTAAGCCCTTGGACCTCCGTACCCCGATAAATGACTTCCTGGAGCAAGAACGCTGGGTCGCTGATGAGTACAACAAGACGGGCCTGGCCATATTTCGAAAGCCACAGGCTGAATATGATGGATTGACCATCTGTGTCTTGGATTCAATGGACTCTCCTCTCTTGAAGTTGCTCAACGCGGCTTCATCTACCGCGACATTGAACTTCATCACTTCGAACAGGGCATACTCTTTGTTTCCGCGAACGACCTTCATCGACAAGGAGTGCTACGTATTACAGAACCTGGCGGCGAATAAGGCCGCGGGTATGGTAAAGCAACATGGTGATTGCCTTCGGGGTTTGACATGCGACGGTATCCAGACTCGACTTCTGCATTGGGATGATAAGCATACGAACCTTATTACTCGCCCCCGCCGTGTCGGTGATAAGTATACGTATATAATTGAGCTCGACGCCGCAGGTATCGATTGCAGCATAGTAGCGATACCACAGACTGTCGTGGAGTGTTCTACCTTCAAAATCAAGCTCTGGCGTTGGAACAGCAGAGATGATCACGAAGGGCCGGTATCACGTTATACCATGAGTGTGATTGGAGTGGATAGTGCTGTCCTCAAACGGTCCTATGTCGTCTTGCGGGAAGACCAAAAAGATGAATATGAGCCCGACCACCCGGCACCATCGAGGCTCTATCAAAAGACGATCCACCTTGTATACCAAATCCGTGCATTGACGATATTAGAGCTTTCCAAGTTGCCAGAGAGCGACCGCCCGATCGAATACAACAACATTATGGATCCGAGGACTCGCGAGACGTTCGAGTGGAAAAGCACCAAGGTACCAGAGACGTGGTCATACTACGACGACGACTTTATGAAGCAGCTGGGGAAGCTGTGGAGGGAGCACGAACGCGACGAGATGGAGAAGGGCGATGATCGGACTAGCCAGTAATAAGAGCGACTGGAGGCGAAGCCGGAGCAAGTTGGCGTTTCGTCGGACGAGAGCGAGGATATAGCGGTTCGTTGGAGAGCGGTTAGTCGCGCGTGTGGATGAGGTATGTTTGCAATAAAATGGCGTCAGTGCGAGTTAAAGAACTCGTAGATAACTTGTGGTATAATGTCAGTCATCCAGCTGAATTAGCGTAATAGATAGCGGTAGCCAGCGTGAGGCGGAAGAACAATTAGCGTTCTGAACCCAAGCCTTCCATATCTGTTTGTATGATCGTTCGCAGTTGCCTGAAGGTGGCATAATTTGACTCAATGATAAGCTGCTATGCTGATGATCGTGCGTACTGGCCGATGCGGGTTCTTTGTGACGAAGCGGGTGGCTGAGCCTGAGATCGGAGGTTGTCGTATGATCATCCCAACTATGCGCAACCATACGGGGTGTAGATGGGATGGATTGGATGTCGACGCGATGACGCGATGTGAGGTGCTGAAGTGAGGAGTCGCTTCCGTGAAGAGGAGAATGTTGTCAGCCAAGCCGCTAATGTCCGAATGCGGTTGTGACGCGTTCAGTCGCGCCGTCGACGCGTCGGAACTTCATCAGCAACACCCGCCGCTCTCTACCACCAAGGCATTCGCGCTCCGCCCTCCGCCGTGATGGATCTCATTGCCAAGGCGCTCTTGGTACCTCAGGATGCTTATTGCGCTTCACGACTGCTGTTTTGGGAGTTCCCAATTCACTGTCAACGAACTACTGATCGACAGCAACCAATGAAGGACCCATTCACAATGCCGCCTTTTGTGAAACTTGCGCATCAGTGCTATCACGGTTCCAATGGGTGACAGAAGCTCTTGCAGAACGATTGAGCTATTCTTTTACATACTTTACGACAGTATTTAATTCTGCCTTTGGAAAGTACATATCTATCGTTTGAACATTCTCCAGCCGACGTCGGTATCAGTGTTGTACTTGCATTCATCATAGCCTCACAGCGTACAGTACTTCCCCCATGGATTCTCTCGGCAGCAAGCAAACATCGGCGAACATAGCCCTTGAGTCAACTGTGCTATCGCGATGCTTCATGTAGCAAACTTGCGAAGATGATGAGATTCACTCAGCGGAAGCGCCTCGACAGGTTAAAAACATGTGTGAGATTTTCCTTTCCACACATCACCAGCTTACAACCTCCCAAGCTCTTAGCTAGTCACTCTTTCAACTCGACCGATCGAAATCCGGGTGATACTCGCAACCTCTCCTCGACACATCGACCCTGTTCACCGAAGGCACTATGTCTCAAGACCACTACCAGAGCGGCAACAATTCATTCGACGATAGCCTCTACCTTGGCATTGGAGGTCTAGACATACCATTGCTCCATGAAGCTCAATTTCAGACAACTATGGATAACGAGGGCGCAGTGCTGTCTGCCAATGGCGACCCTGTGTACTTTGCTCAACCTGGCATACAAGACTATGGCATAGGGAACTATCAGCCGAATGAGGTTCCTCTATATGCACCTGACGATGGTCAGCATCAACACGGGTTCGATGGATACAGCCAACCCATGCCCGAGCAGCCTTCATCCCAATATTATGCAGGTACCCCACCTCCTCGTTATTCTTCCATAGAGCCTGCCAGCGCTACGAATACGCCAACACACTTGGTGGACGTAGACTCGCCATTCGACCCCTGTTACCGTTACATGACACCCAGCCCACCGGCACCCTGTCAAGCTGATGCAATAACTCCAGTTCAACCCAACCATTTTGGACTGAAATTCCGGAATCTGGCAGAAGCGAAGGCTAGCATGCTCAACCGCTATATCGAAAAGGACTGGGTACCGCCTGCTAATGACAGCACTATTCCGACTACTGCCTATGAACGCGCTGGACACGTCGCCGAGCTACTAGAAGCAATGAAAGACACTTCCACCTGCCCGGACAAGCAAGACAAGGGCCGATTTCTAAAACGATTGACTCCAGGTGCCAAAAAGGCGATTTACAAAGAGCAGATGGAGAAGGTGTGCTGGCAGCTAGTTGCCACCGCTGAGAAACTACATGTCTTCGGCCCGAAATCATTCTCCATCTACGACTCGACACCTCTGGAAACGATGTGGTCATCACGCAACCTTACCTTTGGTGAGCGTATAGAAAGTCTCTGTGCGCTCTTACGGCTTTCCAAGAGCCGGTGCTTCTCGCTGCTCAAGGGTGAGAATCTTGAAACCACTGTGGGTGCGGCCCCTCAGAAAATTACGGGCACGATCCTGAATAATGGACAGAATGAGAACCGCCAGAAGTATATCGCAGAAGGTCGGGTGAGTATGAAGGGGAAAAAGGCAACGACGTCACCGGAAGATCAAGCCTCAGACACGGACGGTGATGAGGAACTCGATCCAAGTGTCGCAATGAGCCTGCCTTCTAACGAACCCGAGGAAGAGTTAGATCTAAATGTCGCGACGATCCTGCAATCACCGGAGCCTCTGCCACCTGCCAATGTTGAAACGAGTATTGTCGGTGGCTTTCAATCGAACAATACCCAGACCGTCTCTCAGTACGCGGGCGACAATGGCGGGCAGTACGAGAACAACCAGCATGTCACTGGGAACTCTTACCATCATGGCCCTCAACCTGTCTTCCATCACGATCGGCCCTCGCCTGGGATGCTATCACCGAACATGCTTTCGCCATCCGCCTCGTATGCCCCGACTCCAACGCCATCGATGCACGGAATCTATTCCCCAAGCACGCAGCCATCGCCGGTAACACCTTGGACGCCGTCGCCGTCTCATGTGCCGCACACGATCCAAGGCTATCCGTACACTGCGTACCAACACCCGTTTGCCATTCCTAGACCCAATCGAGTGTTGAAACGCAATGCCGAAGACGCGCAGCTCGGCATGGGTCCATATGCACCGGTTCAGCGCCCACGATTTGATGATCAAGAGACCTCCTGGCAATGAGCCCGGACCTATTGCGGAAGAGGATGAAGCTGTAGGGTACTATTGTAGTGGCAGCTGGTTTGTATGAACCTAGTCTGCATATTGAGAAACTCGGCATTAGACAAAATCATGAATGTACATCAAATGCAGTCAAAGGAAGTCCTCTCTGCCCCGAAACTTTGAAATAGCCATGCCCCTATCGTCCGCCAATTTCATCAAGAGCCCTCAGCCGCGCACGACTTTGCACTTCTGTCGAGCCAATCCCTTATTACATGCGGAAGCTTCCCGTCCTCAGCCCCTAGAGCTGGTAAGAGGTCTTCTTTTGCTCTGCTTTCATCTAGCAGCAAGCTCATGTCGAGCTTCTCCGTTTTATTAGTCTCCATAAACTGCTCCCTTAGTTTGATTGACCACCAAACTGTTCATTATGTGAGCCTATAAATGCGATGATGTATGGAACGACGAGTCACTCACGCACTGTCTGGACGTAGCAATTTTTCCACTTGTCTCTGGCCTCCTTCAGGAAAGACGCCGGGATCGGATCTGGCGGGCAGATCCACTCAAAGAAGTGTTCCGTCTCAGGTGTATCCTCGAGACTCATAGTGTATTTGTACCACCAATCGCCTTTTTCTTTTGTCACCTCCCACCCAAACGCGTCTCGGCAAGCGTCCCCAATGCTTTTCTTGCTCGCCCAGGCGTCGATCTTCCTGCCATCCCAGACAACACATTTGACCCTCCACATATCCTTCACTAGCGCAATATCCGGATGGAGCTTGGCCATCTCGACCGCCTCGCGCGTTTGTTTTGTGGGCCGGCAGCTTTTGACGGCTTCTTCCAACTTTTCAGAGGCAGCTTTTTGTTCTGGGGTGAGTGTCTTCTCAAGTTCTCTAAAAAATGGCATTTTGACTAGGATGTAAAGCGTGCGACTTGGGTATGGAGGGTTGAGTAGTGTCAAACTGCTTCTCACAATGTTATAGAATAGAGAAAGATCGAAGTACCACCGATTTATAGTCCAAAGGGTATGAGCCATCATATACAATGACTGGATTGCCTCTGTTTGCTGTGAGTCGCATTGCCTGGCAAATGATTACAAGCCGAATGACCCATCTCTATCGGGAGAAGGTCGACGTCGCACATGAAGTACTGAAGGACCAGTCACCGCGTGGTAATCGTATTGACTGTGACGGCACGGTACGTTACCAGTCGACCGAAGCGTGCCGTGTGACGGGAACGGCGATGAATGGCTATATGTTGCGTGAGTCGTAAGCGCATACATGCGGCTACCTTTGGATGTTGAATGAGTCGTATCAATCCAAATTACGCGATCTGCCAAGACGTGATACCAACACCCGACGATGGTCGTAGAGAAGCCAGTGCGCTTATCAGCGATGACTACTTCAGCTCACACACGTCTTGGGTAGTAGTCAGAACGAGGCTCGCGCAGGAGGAGGAGCTATGTGCTTTCTCCTGCCAAAGGTCTTTGCTGAGACGGAGGCGTAGCTGGGATCTTTCGACTATCAGCGAGAATGCGCTGGGTAGCTGTCCGAGAGATGTCACGAAAGCTGGCAGTAAGAAAGGCGCCGCAGTGGTGGCAGCAGCTCCCTTTGTGAAAATTATTCGTCGCGACAAGATTCGTGTTAAACAATGTGTTAATGATCTTAAACCGTATACACCCGGTATCATCCGTCTTCCCTCAACGACGTAAGAGTGACATATCCCACCCTTCATGAGCATCATCAAATGTGCTATCCTCAGGACCGCTACCAGCACTTTTTTGAATCCAATCATCTATGTCGTCTGGGAGGAACTTGGGGCACCAGATTTTGCAAGTTTGAAGTTTCCCAGCATATTTCCTTGGCAGAAGCAGGCCTTTCATATCTAACGGTTTGTCTTTGTTGGTTGCGGCGAATGGCCTCCGCAATTCCATCGCCCACCACACTAAGTATCGTTAGATTTTGAGCCTCAAAGCAACGATATGGTTGATCAACTCACGTCCTCGCTGAACGGTACAAGTGTGCCACCTGTCTATGTTTTTATTTTCGTTCAGACCACTAATGAACATGACGCTCCACTGGCTAGGGGGAACGATCCATTCCAGCCACACTCGGTTCCACGCTCGCTCTTGCTTGTTTTCCTTGTCATAGAAACTTTCGCTGTACTTGTAGGTAGGGCCGTCTTTTTTGTCGACTTTCCAACCGAAAAGGGTTTGGCATTCGTCCGCGATGGTCTTCACACTGGTAAAGAGGACCATCTTAGTTCCATCCCACAAGACGCATTCGACGCCCCAAAGAACATCGACAAGTGCAAGACCGAGGCATTCTTTAGCTTGTTTCAAGGCTCGTTTTGGTTCTGCCGGCCAGATTGGGGAAAGAGCTTGAGCGGCGTTTAGTCGGTCCGGTCCACCCTTGAGTTTTAATTCATCCCGGGCCTTCTTGAGCCTATCCTTTTCAGTCAGAGGGTCTGAGTTACCGGACATCTTGAAGCGATCGTAATGTGTAGCTCTTTGATAAGATAGTCTGGGGGACGAAGACGTTCTTTCTTCTGGGAATGTAAGAGGAGAGTATGTCTACATGTCGCCGACCCTTTCTTATAGTCCAAGTTGTCATCGTCCATGATGCGAAGGTGACTGCGTCGAGTAGGTATCACCAATGAGTCGCGACCTCTAGATGTGAGCGTGAACCGCGCGCACTGTCGAGAAGTGCCACTAACGCACTACATTGGCCACACATGACCCAATGCGCTCGTCAAGGAAGAGTATCGGAGCGCACATACCCGGTTTATAAGAGTCAGAATTCTGGATGATGAGAACTCGATAGTCGTTGCACGGCCTCGCGTACACGGGCGGGTGACGAGCGCCTTTAGTAGAAGACGCATGTTGATGGACGAGAGCGGCACATTCGACACAGTCAAGCGCTTGTTCATCTCATCCGCGTCCTCACTCTTCTTTTCCGACATCGCCTCTGGCCCACTCAGGTCCCTGCCCCTCTTCCTGGTCTTTCGCTAACTTCTTCTCAAGCTCCAGTCTCGCCTTCTCGCCGAACTTCTTTTCCCATTCCTTGTCTCTTTCTTTCTGGGGCGCCGCGAACTGCGTACTCAGACCACCTCGACTCTTGACTTGCATCTTCTTCTCCGCAGCCTCGTTCTGCTTCAATTGCTCCTCAGCACTTTGGATCCTGCGCTTGAGGCTGATCTCAAACATGTCTCTTCCTTTGTGCCTCCCCTTGAGCCCGTTGTCGTCCTTGTCGAAGTAGACGGCCCAGCGCAGACCTTCCTTGCCCCACGGTGTGTCCGGGTCTTCGTCGGCGCCATCCCATTCGTCAATCGCCATGAAGCCCTCCCAGCCTTCGAATGTGAGGTGCGTCTCGTCTTCAGTCCAGTCCCAGACACCGACATGATGCATGATGCTGCCGGTGCGGTTCGAGTAGCGAAGCTCGTACGTCTTTTTGTCGCAGTAAACCCAGTTCAGCATCGGCGGGTCGTCGCTGATCGTAGTGACTAGCCCTCTTTCCGGCGGACTCCTGTCTTCATCTGGGTATGCAATGTAAAAGCCTGCAAATGGATGCAGAGGCTCCTTCCCTTCCCCATCTATCCCATCCGGCCACATGGGCTTGTTATCCGCATCCCTCGGCACGACCCAGACTTTATCGTGGCGCACGACGAGGATGCCATTGTCGATTTCTTCTTTCGCTATCGGATCGGGGTCGTCGCAGGCTACGAGGCAGTTGAATTTCCACATGCGCGATTCGTTGGCGGCTTCTTCGTTCTGCTTCTTTTGGTGCTCGACACCTTGCGCGACGCCGGTCACAACAGGGATGGCGACGACGCAGCCGCCGAGGAAGATACTGAGAGGAAGCGCCATTTTGGAGATGCGGTCGAAGGGTGCGATATATGATTCAGGGCGGTGGCATCGTGGGGGACTGGAAGAATGCACGCGATGCACTTCAGTCCACGCGAGGTGGGATGCGAAATCGCGCTGCGTCATGATCGGCGGGGACCTTTCCGCAAATAGTCTAGTGCGTCCTCCCGTCACTGCCGCGGTGCATCTAACTTCGCGGAACGACACCTTCTCAACTTGATGTAACCTCCACAGTCAGCGCCAAATTTTATCTTCGTCTCCAGATCAAATTGTATTTTTTGCGTCTGCTCGGTGTACGCGCGCTCCACGAGACCGCCATGACCAACCCCAGCTTGCAGTTGGCTCAAAGCGCAGAGAATTCAACACATCCTAGTTGCTTGTTGACCAAACGAGATTCATGGTGAGAACTATGGTACGTCCTCGTTCTTGCGTTGTGTTCATTGGCTACGACAGTAAATGCAGCGAGTCTGGTTGGTCGGCTGCGCCCACTCATCCAGCCGACCAGAGTTCAGGATGGATAGTCGCGTAGAGTCAGAGGTCCAAATTGTACCATGGAGTGAACCGTAGATTCTGGTAGGTTTTCTGCTCATATATAATATGTACTTGTCTCTTGTAAACTTCATCTTCTCATCTCATCCCATCAACATCTTCTCCAACAAAATGTTTTATCACCTCCTAGCAAACGTCGCCGACGCATTTTGCATGCACCCAGACCACCTGGGTGAAGATTCCACTCCGCGATATACACCGTCATCGTATTTGGCTCTAAAACATCGCAAAGCATCCAAGAAGCCTATTCGAACCGCCCGTCCACCACAGCCGAGTGTCCCTAGAACTGTCTTCCGAGCGAGAAGCCCATCGCCATGCCCATTCACCCACCAGCCACTGGCGCGACAATTGAAGCAGTTTCCGGCATACGAAGAAGACGAAGACGACTGGGAAGAGTGGAAGCGGAATAATGGCAAGGTCACAGTCAATGGCCATGACATTGACCACTGCATTCGACACTGCGAACATCGCATATGTCGCTCCATCACCGACAAAGATAGGAAGCGCGAAATCGAGCCTAAAGCATGCAGATGTTGCAGGCGACTTCTCATCCTCGAAAACACCATTTTCAGACAAGAAAGGATATCGCATCTTCGACTCCAGGATATTCTGGCCGCCCGAAGAGCATACGAGATGACCAGCCATGACAAGACTGTTACCCTGGAACTAGAATCCACCACCGGCCTAGTCAAAAAGATGCGAAGCATGGGATATCTTGATATCACAAAATATCTCCGCGGATCCAAACACTTCACGAGGAGCACCACACTCTACCCCACGCAGTACCTCGCTGCTACTCGCGCAGCCAACATCCTCATCTCCAAACTGCTGCACTACCTATCCATCACGCTATTGCCCCTTGAGAACCAAACCCGCACTCTGACCATCGCGGATCTAGTGAAAGAGATGACGGAAGTCATGCGTCTGGACATCTTCTGGTGGGTATCTGAATGGTGTTTCCGCAATCAGGTGGAACGTAGGGATAATGTCATGGAGAGAGCGTGGAAGTTGAAAGGGTGCTTTTGCTTGGCGAGAAGGACTTGGGTTAAGGGAACGATGAGTAGGGGAGTTGGGGTGCTGTTTGAGAGGATGGAAGGGATTGTGGAGATGGTAGTTGCGATGCTCTTGTGGTGGGATGGAGAGATGAAGACGGAGAGTATGAAGAAGACCTGGTGGGAGTTTGAGAGCTGTGGGAGTGAGGAAAGCAGCGAGAGTGGAGAGAGCAGTGACAGCGAGGAGAGCTGCGATTTTACCTGGAATTAGTGTACTGGATGTCTCGTACGCCTGATCAGTATCGTTACATGCAATTGAAGAGTGAAAGCTTCCGTGTGCATCCACCGCCATCAATCCGTGGTCGAGCAAACTCGAACACAGCGCTCAATACACACTCCATATGCGCACAACGCCTCTTTACCTACCCACATAACCATCTCAACCAACACCATTGTATTTCACTCCCTCTCCCGAGCAAACACCAATCAAGCACCCTTTCACCCGCAATCATGAAGTTCACAAACGACGACTTCCTGTCCACATCCCCCACACCACCTCCACCTCCACGCTCACACCTCCGCATCCAAATCCCGTCCTACAGCCTGCGCCTCCCCGTCGCCCCACCATCCCCCCTCTTCGACGGTATAAACGAAGACACAAACACCCACCGCTTCCCCGCCTTCCAAGACGTCCTCAATATCCGCAAGAGCGTGCCACCACCAGAACCGCACTGTACACTCCATTGCAACCACGGAGTTTGTGTGAAACAGATGATAGAAGGGTTTGGTAGCCCGCTATGTCAATGTGTTCTGGAAGAGGAGGAGGAGTGGAGTGTGGAGTGGTACCGGCCTGCTATGGAGCTTGAAGAACTGGATTTGATGTCGATTGCTCAGAACACCGAGAAGTTTAGTCCGGCGCAGGAAATTGATATACATATCGAGGATGCGATGAGGGTTGTCGCGTATCTAGAACCCGGCGCTGTTAGCCGAGCGATGGACGACGGGTTTTTAAGACGCGCTATGCTGGCTGATTTTGGCCGGGACGAAGAACGCACGACAAAGGATGCGGTTCACCGGTTCTTCTATTTGATGCGTATATACTTCGATCGTACTCTTCATTCGCCGGGCCACCGCGTTGTAAGCATCGAACAGCTGCGGTGCGAGTTGGACGTGTATGTTTGGACGCTGCTGGTTGAGTGGGTCATGAAGTATTGCGACTGGGAGACGCAGCGATTAGTGCTGAAGCATGACGGCCCGGAGTGCATTTTGGACGCCACGTTTGGTGCTCCGGCGGCGGTGCTGGAGCTGTGGTATGAGTGTGTTGAAAATATTGTTGGGGTACTGATATGGCGGGATGAAGAGGTTAGGTGGCGGAGACTTGAAGGTGTGATTGGGTTTTGTGTTGTGTTAATCATGTTCTTCTTATTAGTCAGTATTTTGCTTTGGGGAGGCTTGGTGTCGCATATCTGATGGCGGTAAGGCTGAGTCAAAGAGGAGAGTTCTTGGTATCAGCATTTAGTTGTGAGGGTTCTACACCAAACCGCACTCTGGAAGCTGATACGATTGCGGCGTATCATCCCGTTCATTTGAAATACATGAGCTCATCTTTCCACGTACTCAGCATGGGGCAAATCGCTATTCGCATGTGCATATGCTGGAACGAGTAGGCCTTCATCAGCCCAACAAAATGCAAACACGCAGCAATCACCACAGCGATGTGGAAGATCTGGTGCGATGAGAGCCACAGGTCAAATTTGCCTTGTTTCCAACGCTCTGGGAATCGCGTCTGTCTTCTGTTAGTCCAGCTATCGCTGAGCGCTGTAAGGCACGACTACATACCATAAAGGGAACCAGGCTAGCCAGGCAGACGAAGCCGCAAGCCAACCCCCATCGTAAGCCTGCCAACTCACCCATTCGTTCCCAACCATACATTTGAATACCCCTCCACAGCGGAAAAATACCAGCGGCGGCAAAAGCGACGAAAAGCGGAACTACAAGGGCCTGTGCCCAAGACTTGGAAGCCAGAGGCGAAGCGAAGAAGAGCAGCATGATAGCGCCCAAAGCCGTGAACTATATTCCATGTCAGCAGCTTCAAACCCATGTCGTAGCACCAAATCAACTTACAATAAGCATATAGGTGCGCATGAGCTCTACCTCGCAGGTAAACGTGTAGTATAGCGTCGCAATCAAACAGCCCCAGATAAGACACGTGATGCCCGCAAAATCCAACTGCTTGCCAGCCGTCGCCACAGATTCTGAATGGTCAAGGACAATGTGGTACGTGACGGAGAACGACATGCACAGTACCACACCGCCGAGGAATGCAGACAATGCCAGTATATCACCGTTGCGTGGGGAGGGGAACCACTGTTTTGGGCCGCCTAGTTGCGGTAGGTTATAGGTGGTGACAAGCAAAACAATGACTAAGAAGAGTAGGTGGGTGTAGATGTTGCCGGTCTCGTTATGGAGGTATGTGAGGCTTTTGATGGATTGGCGGTATGAATTGCGGGCGGAACGGTATTTGGTGACGATGTATTGGTTTTCTTGGCGCCATCCTGGTAATTGTCCGTAGTTGACGAGCGGATTCTTGATGGAAGGATCGTGCTTGTGCCCTACAGCGGTAGTCTCTGGTGCTGATGACATCTTCTCGTTTTGATCGCGCATGTTGTTCTTGGTGATAGTAATCTGGGCGATGTACTGCTGCAACTTCGAGCAGTCGTAGCTATAATAACTGATATGACCCACATCTTCTCGCAGATGACGTCTGCCACGATTCTGCTAAAACAGGTACAATAATTGGCGTCACTTTGGCTAAACGTTGACAACTTCTTGGGGTGTACTCCGGAGTACTCCTAATGGTAGCACGCTCGACTTGTAGTCGCATTTGAAGGCGAAGTAGCCGGCTGCTCGGCAGTCTTAGGTTTGCTTAGCTCAATGTTCGACTGGTAAACTACCATTAGGCCGAATCTGGGGATGCAGTTTGCTTGGCGCACGATTGGGCCTCTGGAAACCGTTGGGCGGGAATCCGTAGCGTTGCCGAAACTCCGTCGTTCCACGACTCTGGAAGTCTAGAACCTCATTCTCCACGTACTGACTGGTCTTTGGATGGAGGACTGTGTACTTGCTGGACCCCGAAACCGACTTTCATCTGGTTGAGTTGTGAGGATACGTCTACATATGATGTCGCCACGCCACCAAGTCCAAAGGTATCAGTGCCTTGCCGAGTTCGTATTGCTAGACTCTGTTGAGTAAACGTGCCCCCAGGGCTTTGATCTGCTTGCTTTCGCGTTGCTCAATCGCTTGCCAAATCAGCTGTCTAGCAGTCGATTTGCGGGAGGTGAGTTTGCTCTAAGAGAGATCTCACACCTGCCCCGCTGCATTTTGAATGTCGGAAACATTGGTTAAATGCCAGGTAGTGTTATTGGAAGTGCCTAGGTAGTAAATCCTGGACGATACGAGGCGCAGAAATAATATTCGTATTATCTCGATGACTACAGATTAGAATGTGCCACAACGGAGAGTCGCAAGTCCATTCAGACGTCGCCGACTCCGATCTTGACCCCACTTCATGATCGAAGGCGAGCTAGCCTAGAACCGCATCATGCAATTCTCTCTGATCCTTGAACGAAGAACCGTCTACTTGCTAAAGCCCGTAACCTCCGAACATTAGTGTCCTGAATGCTTCGGAGTGTCGTATTTCACTTTCCTGGATCTTCTGAACTAATTCTTCTTCCGTTTCCGAAGACCAAAGCGAAGCCTCTCTTGATGGCTCTATAGGTGCAACCATAAAGCTGTCTATGTATTCATCGCGATACTCCATTTTGTTCCACTCATCTGTCAGGACGTCACAGTCTGACCGGTTCAAAAGCAACGCCGCGCGACTATAATGTCCGTTCAAGTCTGCCGCTTGTACCATGGTATGTTTGTCTAGCAGTATGACAAACTTTGGGGTTGCAGTCGATCTGGCCCAATGCATTCTCTTCATGCCGAAATCGTACAATTCAGCCGGTTCATGGAATTCGAGACCTGTCTGCACTTTGCCGACTTCCGCATTCCAGTGTTCCAGAAGAGAGCCAGTTTGTTTGTGAAGTGTATCGAGAAGCTGGACAAGACGAATGCCTTCAATGTTGTGGATGCGCTCGAGAAGTCTCAGGGTGGGTTCCTCTTGTGCCTGTATCACGTAAACACCGATAGTCTGACAGGGTGGTTGTGTGGCAAATGTTGAGCCCAGGCATCGGCGAAGACCTAATACGTCTACATCAGGGCCTAGTAGCAGGTTTGCTGCAGGTGCATTCGTTCTAAGAGAGACCTCATACCTGCCTCGCTGCATCTGGAACCGTTCTCCAAAGATCTCGGCGACGCAGGGTGCAAGTTGAAACTGGGTGAAGTCCAGCCATTGCGGTACCGGTAAACTGGTATCATCGTACTGTATGCCAAACGGAGAGGGCATTGCCGGGGCCCAGAAACGCGCATATGCGGTATGAAGAAGATCTATAGTCTTCATTGTCAATGCTACAGCCTGGGAGAGGCGGGCAGGCGCATATAGTAGTCCGAAGCCTGGACCATCAAGCCCGCAGACCTTTTCTTCAAAGTTCTCGAGTTCTTCGAAGCCGGGCTGTAACCACGCTGGGGTCTTTCCAGAATTTTGAGCAGCGCCATATTCCACGGGGTCGTACAGGCGGCGGTTGTGATTGTCAGATTGGAAAATGTGTTTGATAGTGCCATGCCATGAGCTTGACACCCTCCAAGCACTCAATCGATCGTATACGTCCAACCGACAGAGAATGTTCTCACGCAGTTCAGCGATCCCAAAGGCACGATTTGCTGCAGGTTGCGCGACTGCTGCACTGACTTGTGTGGTAGGCGAAGAAGATTTTGCCTGAGCCGCAGTCGAATCATTTGGCATGTAATAAAATTCCGCCTTTCGTCGATTAGTGAGGGCGATTATTCTTTCCTTCCACGACTGTATCTTGCGCATCTTGTCGGGTTGCCATCTTTTGTTGCCTTTCAGGCGTAAATATTCATATGCACGACTCCATCGAACAAAGTGGGCTCGCTTCTTAGGCGTGATGTTTGAGATGTCGTCTTCGGTCATCCATTCGAAGATGAGCTCTTCATCCGATCGTATGCCCGATGGAAGTTGGAGAGCTGCGTCGCTCATTGTTTTGGTGTAGTGGTGATGATGATGATGGTGGCTATGGATTATTGTACGGGCGTTGCAGGTATCTCTTCAGCGGTGCTGATGTGGAAAGTTGCAGCCTGGAGTGGGGTAGCAAAGCCAGATCATCGTTCGTGGGACGCATGCCTGGGTACCACTAACACATCGGACCGCATTTGGCAAATGGCGATACAGCGACAATTGATCCATGGCTACGACGTTCCGAATAGTCTTAGTTGGCTGTATGTGCATTTAGGTTAGAGCGCGATCTCGGCCCTCGGCGGGTGGAAGAGAGGTGCAGAAGGCGCTTGGACGATGCGATAACATAATCTCGCGTAACCCGCACTAGATCCAATCTAGACTTCCACGTGTTTTGCTGGTCTCGCGGCAGCCGAGACTACGGCGAGTGGTATAATACTTTGCATTGAGGTGCATCGATTCTCCAAACACTACTCACTAAGCATATAGACTTCAGCGAGCCCACCTTATCCGTCTGGTTGAGGTGACGCAGCAGTAGTAGCAGTTTCTACAGTCTATAGCAAGGAAAAAAAAAACGAATTTATGGCATGTCGTGCTATATGCTCCACAAAGAATCATCAGCAGAAGTATCCCTAGTCCACTCCGCCCAACACTCGCTGCTGGTGTCGACATATTGTTCTGCGATATCCAAAGATTTCCACTCGTTTCCCAATGCCCTCATACTCATCAGCAACGGCCGTTGGCTCACATGCTTGGAGAGATTGGGATTTTCATCCATGTCGTGATGATCGAGCGTGAGTATAAAGTGCGGACGGGCACCGGCTGTGAATGCACGCCGTCTTGGGTATGATAGCTGCAGTACGCTAGGAGGCAGGGTGGCCAAGTTCTCTCGCATACGTTCGACTTGGGCCCTCCAATCCAATAGTACTGTCGATGCATGTGCGTTCAGTATATTTGTTAGATGGGATATACGTATTCCGTCCTTGTTGTAAATGCGGGCCACTAGCTTATTGTTGTGTGCAGTTCCCGCCAGCCACTGATCACTCGGAGTGTAGATGCCGATGCAACTACACGGTGGGTCGGTGACAAAGTGCGATCCTACATGGGAGTATAAGGACCCAAGCGGGAAGTTGAGCGGATGAAGGAGGCCTTCAGTGGGAGTATCGCTGTTTAAGTAAACATGACAACGACCGCGATACGTCTCGAATCCGCCAGTGTATAGGCGCTCCAGACACGGATGCAACGTGAACTGCGTAAAGTCCAGCTACTGCGGCTGCGGTTTGAAGTCGTCGTCCGGGGCGGGGTTAATGTCCCAAGCCACGCGATATGCGTGGCGCACGAGTTCTGCGACGGATGGCTTGAGCATATGCGATTGAGTAAGCCGAGCGGGTGCGTACGTCCAAATGTTCCATCCATTTGTATCCAGGAGAATCAAACACCTTGCGTGGACCTTTTCTTCGAAAGCAAGTAGCTCTTCGGGGGTTACATGAAGGTTGTCATTGTTGGTCGAACACACATCGGAGTATTCGACCGGGTTCTGATGCGGTGTACCTTCGAAAGGGTCCTGGAGAATGCGCTTCATAGTCGCTCGCCATAGCGTACAGACTTGGCCGGCGAGCAGTTGGGTCTGAAGGTCCGAACTGTACAAGATCTGCTCTACCAGTTCCGCTATGTTCAAATCGCGGTGAACAGCAGATGCAGTCGACGATGGATTCAGATCATGCTCATTACTCGGATCTGAAGTTGAAGGCGACGGTCCTGAGTCTACTGGATATCTGGCAAGCTGTGCATCAAGTAGAGCAACAAGAGAGTCCTTCCAAGCGTGCCACCTACGCAAAGACGTGAGATTAATGTTTCCAGCTGTCGCGGAGAGAAAGAGGTTACGCCTTTCGCTCAAACTAATGCCAGATGACGCGCTGTACTCGGGGCTCTCAAAATAGGCTGCCGCGTCAAGCAATCGGGCTCGTAGTTCCAGAGGAATGGCCGATGGAGTAATTAGGGAAGAAATGGCCAATGGATTAAATGGGGTTCGTAGTTCCAGAGGAGTGGTCAATGGAGCCTCGATGCCAAACCATTTGAGCAAAAGATTGCTTTCCGTAGCAGCACCGCTTGCCTGCGGGGAGAGGATGGTGTCTGCCATTCTAGGAGTGAGCTAGAGGGTGATGTCAGGTTGTCGGTGGGTCGCGCGGCACTACCTCGGTCACGCGCTGACTAATCCACTAGCCGGAGCTCGAACAAAACTCTCCGCGCCGCCGCCACCCTCTTCTCTTTTCCATATAGAAAGTTGCACCCACGAAATTTGACCTCACTCTTTGTTCCTCTACAAGATTGAAGTTGACATAAGCTGGGGAGAACAAACATCTTTGCCCCCAAGAACTGCCTGCCCCTACCGAATGGGCTGTCGGTCCCGTGGCTCCGAGACATTCCATTAAGAAAATTTCATCATTGCGACGTCTCCCTTCGCCTCGAACGATACCGACACGTATACGCACGAGTGACACGATGGATGCATAAGCGCGACCAAGGCGGTAGAAGTGATCGCTTTGGAAGCGCTGTACCATAAGATGGCTCGTAAAACCAAAGCGATTGACCACATGGTCAATCGCATGAGTAAAGTGCGTCTGGTGGATGAGCGCGCCGCGCCGCCGCCCGATCTTCAAGACGATGCGCAGGAAGATGATAAGAAAGCTGTGAAGCGCCAGCCCTTCCGCTTCTTTGATTTGCCATCCGAGCTGCGATTGCGCATATACGAAGAGCTCTTAGTCTTCCCCAAGACCATCGACCTCGACCCTACGAACTACCGCACCGTCGCCCCCGCCCTCCGCCTCTTCCTCGTCGACCATCGCATGCACGACGAAGCGTCGCGCGTCTTCTACGGTCGCAACACCTTCCGCGTGTTCCCGATCCACGGCCGCTACATAAACCGCAAGCACCCGCTCCTTGCATGGTTCCCTCGCAAATACCGCGCGCTCCTTACGCGCTTGGAGCTGCGACTGGGGCCGGGCTTCACGAAACCGCCGAAATGCTGGGTCGTGGATAGCCGGCTCGGTCTGGCGGCGGTGAAGAAGGTGTACAAATTGAAAATCTTTGTAGAGATTGACCCGGCATCGAACGAGGTGTTTGAGGGCTGGCGCGTGGGGAACAACTTCTATACTGAGTACTGCGTCGGGCTGCTGAGAGGCTTGCTCGCGCAAGTGCCGTCGATTGACGACGTGGAGTTTGACGCATACCCAAGCGTGTCCAAAGACAGCCCGCTGCTGAAGGGCCTGGTAGAAGAGACCAAGCTCAATCAGAAGCGCGTTGCCTGGGGCCCTGAGAGGGGCTGGGACAAGATTGTGGAGGTTGACCTGGCCAGCGTGCTGCAGAAGATGGGGCTTGGAGCTCAATGAAATGAGTCTGCCCTGTAGCATTCGCGCTGTCATGCTATGCGCTGCATATGTCACGTCACTTTATGTATATTCGTGTATCATTCTTCAATCCTTGATTCGCATACCCAAAGTTGCTTGTTTAGTTCGCTCTTACCCTTTGTAGCCGCTGTAATAATGCTGAGGGCATGGGGTGTGGCGCTCAGCCACGCCAGGCCAGATGGGCTGTGAGAACTCAGCCCCGCTTCCAGCCTGCCTACAACAACATCTGCCCCACGACTCGCAGCCCACAAACCTTCGTCGATCGCCCAAAACATCCCGCTGTTTTTTTGAGGCATGGAGCTGGAAGGTTTTGGTACGGACCCGATTGTCGCCTACGAACCAGCGGCCCACGCCGCAACCGGAACTTACACCACCACGTCCGCGCCTGCGCATACCGAAACGAACGATGATACCTACGTATACGAAGCTCTCGCAACAGACCGACCTCGTATCCGCCTTATCACCGTATGGCAAGGTGTCAGACGCGCGTCGTACCCTTACCCACCAACCGATAGCGACGAGATACTGTGCACCATCGACGCATTCGAGGTAGACAGTGCTCCACCTTACATTGCCTTGTCTTACACCTGGGGCGATCCTATACCATTACACACTATTCGACTCAATGGTAAATCCTTCACTATTCGGGGAAATCTTTTCGATTTCTTAACCGCATCTGTTGCCAGCGACATTGGTCGGTGGAGCATTTACCTATGGATCGATCAGCTTTGTATCGACCAGAGCAACAAGGACGAGCGTGGACATCAAGTCAAAATGATGGCAAACATCTACCGCAATGCCCAAACCGTTGTCAGCTGGCTTGATTGGTCCTGTCATCAGGCGGTCCGAGACCTAGCGACAAAAAAGCTCGACCACGATGAGAGACGTGCACACATCATCACCATATTCTCTAATGAGTACTTCTTTCGTCTTTGGATTGTTCAAGAGTTCCTTCTGGCCAGAGATATAGTCTTTATGTGTCGCTATGATTTCCTGGATTACGACACACTAAGTCCTTACGCATCCAATCAGCCTGGGGACCGCCTACCTGTTGAATGTTCAAATGCAATTAATCTATTTGCATCGAGGACCTCATTGAAGCCTCGGACGAGCCTAGCCCTAGTACTCAATCACTACTCGATATTGCGGTGCGCAGACAATCGCGACCAGGTCTACGGGTTGCTTGGTCTCGTAGACTCTTGCCATGAGGTTCCAGAAGTCGATTATCAGAAAACCGCCGAAGAAGTCTATCAGGATACCGTTCAAATCCTTTTGACAAGGAAACAGTACCAAGCATCGAGGTTGATTCTCGACTGTGCTGAGATGTTGGCCGGAAATATGTGCCTTCCAAATAGACATCTGTACGCAATACGTAATCTATTCGAGGACATCAACATGCGCGTCAAACTAGGACAGCCGATGATCTTACATGGCGTCGGCTTCGACTCTTCAAAAACACCAGATGAATGGTGGTATGAGTATCAGGGAATCCGTTACGGCTTTCCAGTCCAAAGCGATGCCGATAGGTCGATGCAAAGCTCATATTCCCCTTGGCTCTCTCGAGCACTGCAAACGCAGAGATCGTCCGCTGTCATGCTTTCAGCTACCCCGTACACATGACTGTTTCCCTAAGGACACTGACCAGGGTGTTTAGTGCTCGCACTCACTCACTTCCATACAGTATCCTTTTCACATGGAAAGCGGATGTTTGCAGTGTGAATTACGCATTGAATTCTCATCACGTAGGCTCTTCCGACTTCACTGCGCGCACGGATGTTGTCGCGTCAGTTGCGGTCGCTTGCCGTATATATTGGAGTGCGTGCCAGACTCTCCTCCATTATATCTTTTGCTTCTTCTGTCAGAGCTACTGCTTCTTCATATCGCCAACAACTACCAGAAGTGTACGTAATCGAAGACATGAGCGCGGCAAACGACGATTCCGCTTCCGCGATACCTGGCCAAACCATGCCGATGCAGTCACACCCCATCAACCCAGAGGCACCGTCTCTCTTGACAATACCAGGCGAAGTGCGCAACAACATCTTCGAGGCCCTATTCGAGTTGGGCGACCCTGTTCAGATCTCCCGCGATCGGTATGCGTACGGCTCCTCCTCCACATGTTACCAGTCACGAGACGTACGTGGCATCGCGCTACTTCGAACATGTCGCCAATTTCCACAAGGAAGTAACCGGTGTTCTCTACATTCGAAATATATTCTGTGTAAAAGACGATCCACATACTGCTGATCCAATTCAATGGGCAATGGCCTGGCTCGTCGATATTGGTAGACAGTCCTCCTCTGTTCGACATCTTCAAATTTACATCGACAACGTATTCCACGGTGCGGATGATTTCATCAATATATCACCTATACTACATCAAGCATGGAAGCCTGATCGTGCGGCTTTAAAGGTTGAACTTCTCCCTAGATGGTCTCCGGGATGGGGTCGCCCCCCAGGCGAAGATGTTAACAGAACAGCCGAGATGAACGCGGTCTCATGTAACCAGCAGATCGCCACAATCATTGGTGACTCGTCAGGGATGATCAGAAGGTTCTTTTCTGTGCCTTTATTACTACAAAAGGTCTGCCTGTACTTTCAGGAGCACTATGCTCACGTTCATTACTATGAAGCAACCAATAGCGACGACCACCCACTATCTGTGGACATTGTTGATATCGTCGACAACGGTACGGAGAGTACATTGTCCAAAAGAGTACCGGTTACGGACATCAAACGCATCATGTGGTGCCTCGAAATTCGAAACCCCATCTTGACCATGGCATTGTGTCCAGACGAGGACATCATCTTTGACCTCACAAACCGGACAACAAACGTGGATGTGGCTCACATCGTATCGGTCACTACTTGCTTGACTGGTACACACGAGGTCGGTTTCCGGGAAAGAGCGTTCAGTGTCACATTGACAAGTATGAGTACCCTGGCAGCTTTCACCGCGGAACTAAAGATACTCCGCGGACTGCCTCTCGGAAGTCCTATGAGCATAATCATTCGCTACTATCTGGACAACAATGCCTCCTTGGACGATGTACGGCTCGATGCTCTCGCGCTTTTGCATGCGACGGGGTGTCGCTACCCATCAAAGCCTGTGTGCATCGAGGTCTACAGCAAATCTGGCACTGCCCCAATCAACAGCTACACTATCTCTCTTGAGGATATACGACAGAGCATCCTTCTCTTCATGTACCAGATCTTCAAGAAAAGTCCAGAGCACATGCTAGCGCAACTACCAAGGATCTGGATGAGTGGCAGGGGCGAGGCGCGGGAAGCCGAGTGGGACTTGAGCAAGTGTTCTATCGAGCCGATCATAAATAAGAACGTGGGCATCAGCTCGACGATCATTTTATCACGCTACGAAGGGATTTTAGGGATGTTGGAAAGCATGTTCGATCTAGACAATCTTCCGCCTAACTCTATGGGGGATTTCGCAATAGGGTTGCTGTGGTACTAGGTAGGAAATAGGTCTTGCTGCATACAGCCTATCAAGTACGAACAATTCGAGAGTGGCTAGGATGATGTATGCCTCAAACTGGAAATTATCTTGTGAAATCTATAATGCGACATGCATTTGGTCGTCCTTTAATGCCAGATGCTGTAGATCAAGATAATAGCGTTATCGCACCTCATATAACTAAGTACAAATGGAAAATTGACTGGCAACGTATACCTCTAGGGTAACCTTTGCTATATTCAATACGTGTTTGGCCTCTCTCCCGGATTAGTCGACCTTCTTAATGGTCAAATACACCAAACACGTACATCGAGCATTGGTACAGTGCAATCTAATCCAGCTTCGCAAACCTTTCTTCGCGTAAGTACAGGGCGTATCGTAAGAAGTTCTGCGGTTATCGCTATCCATGACGTAGCTCTTTCCATCCGGTGCAGCAAACGGCCACAGTCTTGGCAGTCGCCCTCTCTCACCTCAGAATCCTCGACTCTACAAGCTTTTCCCACTACCAGCAATTACCCTTCTTTCTTCTCTCACACACCGTTTTCAGATACTGATCGCCAGCGCTACGGCGACTGAGACCACCCTCGCAGCGTGACAGCGAGCGACATGAGTGCGTCACCCGGTACCACAGGCGGCGGCGCGACCTCCACTACCGCCAGTGACGCAGAGTCGAGCGACATGACCACCACCAAGATTGCGAACGTGCGAGCAGACATGGAAGCAGCGACTGCAACGGACAACCTTCCGCCGCCAGTCTCACACCCGACCGATCCGGACGTGCCGTCCTTAGTGACTCTACCTGGTGAGGTTCGCAACGCGATCTACGAGGCACTCTTCATTCGCGAAGATCCTATTCAGATTCATGCAAACAGTTTCGATCCTCTCGGTTACCACTCCGGCAGTGTCGTCCTCGGAACTGCACTCCTCCAGTCATGTCGCCAGATCCAATATGAGGCCACTGGTATCTTTTATCCACGAAACGTGTTTCAACTAGTGCTCCCTGTAAGTACGGACGACGAAGACGGCCTTGTTTGGGCTATGGACTGGCTTCGCATCATCGGCAAACAGTCGTCCTTTCTTTGCGTGATTCAGCTCGATATCAACAACTTGCTTGAAGCAGACGGAGACTTGGAGATCCTACCAATACTGGCGTACACTTGGAAGCTGGAACACAAGGACATGGCTGTTTCCTTTGTGACATCACCCGAGAGGTTGATTGTGGGCTTTCAAGGCAATCGGCCATGGTCTGCCAACCATACGGCTAAGATTAACAAAGGGTTGAGTACGCTCATCGCTGATCCCTCAAACCTTCTTAGGAAGTACTGCATTGCGAGCATGCTGTTGAGGGTCAAACTCGACACAGATGGATCGGAAGTTCTCATTTCATACCGCCATAATCACCGTGGTGGTGGTAATTGGATGACGCAAGGCCGCATATCAATCAGCGATGAAGGTGAGGCCCGTATGATTTCGCGCAACAGGAACCCAGGGTTTTGTGATCTCATGACGATACATGGGGTGAGAAAGAAGCTTTTCGATTCGATCCAACCCCCAGGACTGGAATCAGTCTTCGACTTGACGAACCAGACCACGAATCTCAACCTTAAAAGCCTAGCTGGCGTGAACCGGTTGTTACGTCGCGAAATCATGCTGGAAGTCGGCGACTATGACTCAATCTTCAACTCAACAACTTCGACGCGGAAATACAACTTTGCTACCGAGCTGGAGAGGTTCGAAGCCATCCAACTACACGGCCACCCACGCTACTTTCATCTGTACTTCGACCTATCGGAACACTCTACCCTCGAGGATATTCGATTCGATGTACTGCCATTTATATCTTCGCTGGGTTGGTTGAACCACGACGTCCACTTGAGGATCGAGGTACGCCATCCGATCGATTCCGAGACACCAAACCGGACGGTCACGTTGCTCTTGAGAGAACTACAGGTTAGCGTTTTCTGCTTCCTATACAACCTCCTGGAGACCTATCACAAGAACATCTACCTTCCGTGCCCTAATATCTGGACGAATGGGCTTGGTAAAGTGAAAGAAGTGACATGGCAAGATGAGCTCGGGTTGGAACCTCTGGATACTTTATACCTGGACAACAGTCATGGTGTGATGCAGCGGATCAGTAGCGGAGTTGCGAATGACTGGGCTTCGATAGAGATAAGTCGTATCCTTCCTGGTATTCAAGACACACTGCTCGAGTTCCTCGGGGAGAAACATGGGTGGTGATTGAGGTACGATCTGACCATATCATCAGGATAACTCGCTAATACATTCTAGCTTTTTTGAATACGGATTCGAGCTCTCAACTGCGTTTTTGAAGCTCTCGTGTCAAGAGGTGTCTTTCCTTCGCATCAAAGAGACGTATTGGGACACGGTGGAAGTCTAGTGGCGGCTTTCGTCCGCTGGAATTCTCTTCTCCACTCGGCAGTCTATCACATGGTTTTATTGTGCTTGGTTTAAGTTTCCACATTCCCGAAAAACTGATCCTTCGATGGCGGAACAGAAGTTGCTGCACACAAAAGCATTTGAGTTCATTAGCTCTTCGTGGGCAAATTGCGAGCATCATGGGATGCATGGATGTTTACAGGTCGATAGCAAAAGCTATATAGCAACCCATTCATACAAAAGCAAGATCCTTGGTCCACGAAACGTGTGAATATGACTGATCCAAGCCAAGGGGATTGTCGACTGCGTTCGCAGGCGTAAAATGCCATCTATGAGTGACATGACCGACTTCTGCATGTCTGCGACGAGGCGGTTATCGTTATCAGTCTGCACGACGAAGCAGTCACTATCAGACCTTAGGTATGGAGGCGCATTGCACGCACAGGTGACACATAGGGACAAAGATTGCGATTCTGCCGTCCCTGGAGATCAGGCAAGCAGCATGGTCAATGACGACGCGCGCTGCGACGTAGGATGTTCATGTGGTGCCGCGCGCGAAGAGGGGTGTTTGCGACAACCAATCACAGCATAGCAGACAAGGGATGACGCGTTACGTCATCGTGTCACTAGTCGAAGTCGCGCCTTCTGCCTTTCCGACGATACCAACCACAACAACTCAGCGCTCACTCGTAGCACCGCGCGAAGGCATTTCACTTTCCACACTTTAAAGGCGAGCGTACAAATGTGGTATCTTTATTGCACTCCTATCATCGGTTCTTTGCGCTGACAACGCCAATACAACTCTCCAAGCTTCTAGCCGCATACTGAAGTCGCGCCTCCGGAAAGCATCTTGCTGGCTATCGCCGCGCACACGGAAACGAACGAACCCTTAAGCCATATCTCGTCTACTCAGCTGCCGCCCTCACGAACAAATGCTCGATATCGGGAAGCATGTCCAATGGGTTCTCGCTCGCATCCAATGCCTGGTCCTCGACAAATCCGCCATCCCTGTCAACGTATGGCTGGGGGTCAAGTTCCCAATTCTGGTTCCTACAGAATCTAGCCAGACGAACGTTGCAGAACACAATCGACTTCAGTTCTTTGATGAGGCAGCGCTGACTGCTGTCACAGGAAGCGTCCTCATTCGGATCCTTGAACATGCGTACGATTGCAACCTGGAGAAATGGCTTTGCCGCTACGATATCGTCCATTGCACTGACAAGTCGTCGTCCGCAACACCTCACATAGCGATGCCGATTCCACGCCACGCGGCGGTACACGATATAGTGGGGCAGGACGAATGTGATCTTGTTGAGTCTATGGGCGCCCGCCAGCATCCAAGCCAGACTACGCCACGAATCTTCGAAGTCTAGTCGCGGGAAGCGCTTACGGAGTTTGCCTTTTGTCCACGGATATGGAAAAGGCATGAGGTCGTATACGTCGTGTGTGCGAAGCCAGGTGTGTGGGTTCCAGTGTGAGGCCATGCAACCGCGGTCCTCCGAGCGGCAAGGTATAGCCATGGTCATGGATTTCATGAATCCCAGGTTCCTCGACCCAATCTTCGTCGCGAACGCATACGCTACCATGTGGCCGTTGAGACCCGAGAAGCGGAACTCATTGTTGCCGTAGAAGACCTCGGCGGCTTCAGCGCATACTTGCTTGCATGTACGTAGCAAGCCGAGGTTGCGTGCGCCGCGTCGGCCGAACATTTTTCGAAGTCTAGACCCGTTGCGTACTCTTCGGTAATACTCGGTATCCATGTCTCCGGTCTCTGGCCACAGCTCGATCGGCTCGTCGAATTCAAGGGCATGCCCGTAGATCATCAGACGGATTTCGAGAGGCATATCGAGGAAGCCGACGTTTTGAGGCTTGTTCTACAGACTTGTGAGTATACCATTATGTGTCCAGATCCATAGGGTACTTACCACAGGCTTCTGGAACATACGTTCATCGTAGATGTGAGGATATCCATTGTATGGACGGAGGTCGTCATACGAGTGAACGAGAAACGCACCCCTAGCGCTCAGCGTCTTCATCTTCTCAGCGTGCGCTGCTTGCGCCTCTTGTTCTCGCTTCACTTTCGCGTCCTCCTTCTTTCTCATCTTCTCAGCGCGCGCTACTTGCGCCCCCTGCTCGCGCTTCACTCGAGCTTCTTCTTTCTTGATCTTCTTCTCTCGCACCGCTTCCGCCTGCTCAGGAGCCTTGTGCATGGTCTCGGCTTTCTGTTGCGGCTCACTCGAACCTGCTTGGGCCTCTTTCCGAGCTTTTCGCGCTCGCGATCTAGCCCATCCACTCTTCTTCTTGCGCTCGATGCCCTCGGGCAACACGTTACCTGGAGCAGTAGACATGTCTCGGGTGTTTTGCTAACGTGTAGAAGTTTTCGGGTTGGTTGACTGGTTCGTTGAGATCTTGACCAGGGCCCGGAAGCGTGCGGTCATATATAGGGGTGCAGTACAATCACGCCAAGTCTGTGCATGACGCATTACGCTCCTACTCGAAAGCTCTGCCTATAATGGTCGAACTACGCTCGCCACTGCAGGCCAGAGAACCTTCGGCTATTTCACTCAGAGCTCAAAGTAATGGTAGTTAACCCCCATACC